GTGAGCAAGTTGTAATCTTGAATTTTTATTGAGTAACCAATACAATTCAAGGAACCTTAATTTTATTTGTGTTTGTTTTATGGCTATGTGTTGTCTATACGTCAATCGTCGGTCTAAATGAATACGCTTTGGGATGCTGGTATAATAACGTTATTAAGAGTTACAGGTGGACAAGTATCTTTTCTAAGTATAAAGGTTATGTGTGTACTTTTTTATTCATTTACGCGAATGCATCAGTCGTTTAGCCAGTTTTGGATGTCCTTGAGATGAACCTGTAGTTCCTGGGAAGCGGTGAAAGAATTATTATGAACGCTGAGAGGAGCAGTATCGTCTGCAAACGTAGATGATGTTATTTTTTGACTAGTCGGCAAATCCGATGTAAACATGAGGTATAAAACCGGTCCAAGAGCGCTGCCCTGCAGAACTTCAGCATTTACTTCAATATCATATGTGATTGTATCCATAAGTTTTACCTTGAATTTACGTGTAGTTAGGTATGACATCAATAGTTTATGGAAAGAGGCCGGTAAAATTTGCTTAATTTTAAAGATTAGGCCTTCGTGCCATACTTTGTCAAAGTCCTGTGCAATGTCAAGAAATAGGGCAGAGCAGTATTTTCCTTCTTCGGTGAACTTGGTCAATTGTGCTGTGTTTATGCCGGAAACCAAATTGGTGAGTTGGAATGATGTTATTTTCATTAATGAACGGGAGAAGCTTTGTTAACAATAATTTTTCAAATAGCTTAGAAAGGGTTGGCAGTAAGCTAATTGGTCTGTAAAAGGTTACTTGTGTTACGTCCTTGTCAGGTTTTGCGATCATTGTGATTTGAGACGTTTTCCAAGCGAAAGGAAAAAATCTGACTCTATGCATCGCGTTGCATAAAAAAGAAAACATTCTTACAGCAATATCCGGAAGCTGAGATATCATTTCATTGCTTATTAGGTCATGACCAGGAGCTTTTTTTATTTGAAGCTGGCCAATAATTTTCTTGACATCATTAGGACTGGCTTTTATTGAATTCGGACCATTTTCCGCATTTCTAATGCTGGCACTAATTTTAAAATGACCCGTAGGTGAATTGGGTGTGAAAACCGTTTGCAGGTGTTCAGCAAAAGCTAGAGCTTTTTCCTCGTTACTCCTTGCTCATTTTCCGTTTCCCAGCCTTAGAGGTGGTTCAGTTTCCTTTGGGCCTTTTAATCGCTTAGTGGCTTTCCGTAATGAGAGTTTATCTTTTCCGGAAGGGGAGAGGTTTTCCGTAAATTTCAGTATTTTTTCATGCAATTCTTTATCTAAAGTTTCTTTTAATAGCTTAGCTGCTTAGCTGCTAAACATTTTCTTTGCGGATGGAGATCTAGTTCGTTGCCATTCTCTTCGTAAGCGGCGTTTTTCTTTTAAAAGTTTATCAATTAGAGCAGATGTCCTTTTTGGAGGCTTTGTGTCGGGGTGATGCTTGATGGGTGTTGCGTGCACTGCAGCTGCGGTTATAACAGTCGTAAGATCATATAAGGCTAAGTCTATATCTGTTTCACTTCTGAGCTTGGGTTTTAAGTTTATGTGACTGCTAATGTATTTTCGGAATTTAATCCAGTTAGTTTGTGTGGAGGTAAGCTTAAATAATTTTCCGTAGCAGAGTGCTTTATTTGAAACAGTTATCAGGACAGGCGAGTGATCAGAGGACAATTCGCATCAAGTTTGAGCATTTAAGGTTTCGGTCTATGCCTCTGACAACACCAAAATCAATTAAATCAGGAACTTTATATGAGTCTGGTGGCCAATAGAGGTGGTTTGCAAATAATCCTTAGCGAATTCTTCAATTGCGTAATGTTTTAGACGGTTTTTGATTAAAACTGCTGTTCCTCCCCGAGCTTTGCCATCCGGGTGATTAGTATGATAAAATTTATAATCAGGTGTAGAGAGGTGATTTTTATTTGTTAAATGTGTCTCGGGTAAGAGTAAGACGTATTTCATTTGTGTTTAGAAATAATTGGATTTTGACATATTTTTATGGACTTCATTTTGAAACGATAGAGTTTAGTAGTTGGTTCTGAGTTTAAAGGAGTTCATGGAACATCGCTTGCATTGAATTCATGAGTTAATTCATTTGTGAAACAGAGTTCGCTAATTGAGCAATCACCGTCTGTAGGGTAGGTGTTTCCGATTGAATAATATTGCTTGGTATGTTAAAAGAGGTTTTCATAACGTTTGCGTAACTTAATTCACTAGTGTTAGTTGTTGCAATAGGAGCGGCTTGACTTATCTGAGGGAATTGTTCGTTGGTATATATGAAATTACGTGGCGAGATCTTAGGTCTAATAGTTGTTTTATTTTTCAAGTCTTTGTAGACGGGGCATCCTCTATAGTTTGATGTGTGAGAACCTTGGCAGTTGTTGCATTTAATAACAACATCATTTCCATTTTTAGCTGGGCAATCGGACGAGGCATGCAGCTCTCCACAAATCAAACAAACCGAACGTAGTGAACAATAGCTTTTGGTGTGTCCGTATTCGAGGCAGTTATTACATTGAACTATATTTGTACGTGTAAGAGTAAAATTGAATACAAATAAATCACTCTTATAAGTTAAAGTTAAAGTTTAAGTTTTATTGAGTACCGTAAATATAAGTACACACGAAGATATAATATTCAATATACAAACTACCAGCAAGCTATCACACAGCACCGTCGCGATCAAACCATAACCATTGACTGACTTGTTTCGTTTTCGCTTTTGTTTTTTTACCTTCCAATCAGGGCTGCCATCTTCTTACAGCTCGGCCTTTCCTGCTGCTTCGGATCGTCCTCGATCCGTGATTGTCGAGTTGTTTCCTTCGTCTTCGTCAGCACCTTCGTCTTGACCGTCGCAGATCTGAGGTAAAGCACACCATGATTTCATTTTGTCGTTGGAGTAAACCGACGAATAATGGCGCTGAATACGTTGAGAACCAGGTATGTCTTGCACGACATAGCGATCATTACTTAGTACGCGTGTAATTTGAAATGGGCCTTTATATCTGGGTTCAAGTTTACGTGAGGTGCCGGTGCATGGTGCCTCGTATTCAACCACAACCAAGTCTTCAACGTTGTATTTAGTCGATGTTGAGTGCTTTTTGTCATAACGTTGTTTAGCCTTTAGTCGTTCTGCATTCAGCCGCTTTACTGCTTCATTAAGATTGTTCGTTAGATTGTCGTTCAATATATCATCTCGCTGTAGAACAAGCACTATCTTATTCTGCAGTATATCTCGTGGTTTAAAATTGAACAACAGTTCTTGTGGCGTTAGAGAGTATAGTTCTATTGCATCGCTCGACTAAGCCATTTGCTCGTGGTGTTCGTACAGAATTAGATATATGTTGAATGTCGTTCTCGTTGCAGAACCGTTTGAATTCTTTCGATGTGAGTGTTGACCCGCGATCCGATATAATTCTCTGTGGCATTCCCACATAACTACTTATTTCACTGAGGACGTCGATTACATGTCGTGTCGCTGTACTTTTCACTGCTCGAATAATTGTAAAACGTGTGAACGCGTCGATAACAACCAACATGTGCTCTTTTTGTTTTGAGCTTTTCGGAAAGGGACCTAAGTGTTCGACGTGTACGGTTCGGAATGGTATTGGTTCAATTTCGCTAATGTGCAGTTCGCCTTCCTTTTTAACTCCTGGCACCTTATTATATGTGCAGTCGATGCAAGATTTAAAATATGATTTTACAAAGTTACACATGCGAGCAAACCACATATGCTCGCTTATTCGTGCAATCGTTTTCTCTAGACCCAAATGTCCAGCTTTATCGTGGGCGTTATATACAACTTGCCATCGCAATCCTTTTGGAACCACCCAAAGATTTTTGTCTTTCATCTTTTTGTATAGTCTGCCATGCTGTGAAAGAAAATCTTTGCCTACCGTTGCATCGCCGGTTTCCATCCAGCACACTCTTTTTCATTAATGCGCCTGCCAAACCTACAACGCTCGCATCCCTATGTACCTGATGTTCTGCCTTCGCCCTGTATGCTGTCAGCACAAGTCGCGAGACTAAAACTGCCTTTAACTCTTCGAAAGCATCGTTTTCTTTGTTTGTCCACTTAAACGTTTGATCCTTTCGCAATAACTGATTTAATGGAGCGCCAATAACTGCATACCCTGGCACGAATTTTCTAAAATATCCACTTAAGCCAAGAAACTGTCTGACTTCTGTAACGTTTTCTGGTATTTTAAACTCACGTACAGCTTTTGTTTTAGCCATCCCGGGCGAAATACCATCTGGGTTCAAGTCGTGGCCTAAAAATTCAATGGTAGTTTTCAAAAATTCGCACTTACTTAGGTTGAGAGTAACCTTTGCTTTACACAACGCTCTTAAGACACGCTCTAACTTTTCGTCCATTTCGTTCACCGTTACACTACCAATTAGTATGTCGTCCATATAATTCATCATTCATCAGGTTTTACAGTTTCCCTTATCTTAGCGATAAGACGTTGAAAAACTGCCGGAGCATTTTTAAGTCCGAACGGCATTCGCTTGAATTCGTATAATCCTTCGGTTGTAATAAACGCAGTAAACTTTCGACTATTTTCCTCAATGGGAATTTGATAATACCCGCTGTTTAGGTCTAAGACCGTAAAGTATTTAAAACGTTTTGTTTTCTGTAATTGTTCTTCAATATTCGGAGTTGGAAATATTTCTTTTTTCATATGCTGATTTAACCGTCGAAAATCTACACATAACCGATCACTACCGTTTTTCTTTTTCACCATAATTATGGGACTTGCATATTCAGAATTAGATTTACTTATGATGCCACTATCCAGTAATTCCTTTATCATATCTGCGATTACACGTTTCTTTGGTTCAGGTACACGAAACGGTTTTTGGGCTATTGGTATATTAGTATCGAGTTCAATATTTATTTCCATGAGATCGGTGCATCCAATATCACTTACTCCCGTTGCGAACATATCAGAGTATTTGTTCATTACACTAATTAACTCAGTTTTAACAAACCGTTAATCGATTCCACATTTGATTTTATCGACGCATAACTGCTTATGTTCATTTTTCTTAACAATTTCACCGCATACGTTTTCAAAAGTTGTTTCCCCATTTACCACCGTCACTCGCATACTTTTTAACATATCTTGCCCTAGCAAGAGATCCACCTGCAACAGTTCGTTGTCTACTACGTACAGACATACAACTCGCTCAAAGCTGTCTATTTTCATGTTAACGTGTATTTTTGTAAGTACGTAAACAACACCACAACAAAATCCATTTATCTTAAGGGTACATTCTTCTTTAACGCATTTGAGACAATTCGCTGCCATCTGCCTTATCATACTACATTCACTGCCAGTATCGATCAGTGCCGTGAATGTATTATCGTTAATCGAAACAACTTTCTCCAACTGATTGCCTTGAATAACTGTCTTATTCACAGATTTCGTCGTACGTGTTCCTACGCTTTTCTTGCCGCAGTTTTCGGGCTCGTTTCTAGAATGTACTTTTTGGCAGTCAACGCACTTACGTTTACGTTGTGGTTGTGGGCATTTCGAAGAAATGTGTCCCTTTTGTTGGCAATTAAAACACATCAACCGCTTATCGTTGTCGCTTTTTCCATCTGCTTTCATTTCAAAATTTGTTCTTTCGGGTTTAAACGTACGCACCGGCAAATTTTCCGAGTAATCAATTACTGTTTAGCGAAACTCACGCATCGAACTAAAACGATTTGCTGCAATAGCAATTTGCAGTTCACGCTATTTAAGGCTATTTCTCGCATACTTGATAATAGCTAGTTTTTCGCATCGTTTGTGACATTTTAAAGTGTGTAATAGCCTCATCTGGCACACTACTGAACTTGTCGAGCAAGCCTTTAGATAATTCAATCCAACTCGTATATAAGTCCACCGAGGAGTCCAACCAGAGTTTTGCCGCGTCTTTTAACTGGCTATACACCGCTAAAAGCAAACATTTCTCGTCCCACTGGTATGCTGCGTACGCCTTATTTACCCGTTCTATAAATTGCTCGACCGAAATCGAGACTTCATCTGTCGGGTCCAATTGAGGAATCGTTGCCGAAATCTCTTTCACCGAAAATGGACTACGCGCCATGCATGTGACCGCGCTACTAGTTGGAGAATTCGATCGTTTTTGATTAATGCGCGTATTTGTTGCACCGACGTTAAGACTTGTTTGCAACATCTGCATCATTGAGCTGAACATATCTCGTAGTTCAGTAATTTGCTCCTGTACGTTTGCACTGGCCACTTCGATACTATCCGATCCGACGGCTTCACTTAGACGCAGAATTAGTTCATTTGTAAGGCCTTCCGTCGATAGTCCTTCTTCGTGCAGTCGTTCTTTTAATTCCGTTAACTTTAAACTGTTTATTTTTAAGCGCGGCATTATGTTTGCTTCAACCGCTTTTGAATTTCACAACGAAATGAAATTATTTCTCTACTGTCTATGTAATCCGTACAACACGCGTTTCCTTTTTTTTTTTGTTTAATGTCAATTCACATATATTCTTTTTCTTAGTTCGTTCCGCTTTCACTATTGCAACCTTTCGTATCGTTTCGCTAACGCTAATGTTCGCAGTACACACACGCTTACACACACGTTTAGGAATTTAATACGTTCATTCCTTTCGTTTATTTTTACGTGTCGTTGCCGATCGTTCGCTGAATTTTTCGTTATGTCAGCGGAGCACACACATTTGCCCAGCGGAGTCTCACATGCTTACAAAAGGTTGGAATATGAATTACGCGATCGGAATTATTTTAAGGATGATTATACTATTGGAACTATCAGTCAGATTTTTAAAACTCGGGGCGAACTCCTTAAGTTAAACTATAGACCATATATGCAAGTAAATTCAACACATTGTTTATTATGTAATTTAGACCAGCCAGAGGACATAATACACTTTATTGGATTATGTCCAATTCTGAAAGAAATGCGCTACAAATTCTATAGGAAGCACACTCTTACAGAGGAGGAAATAATAGAGGCATTAAACGGGGAAAACTGGACCGCACTCTCTGGCTATGTTAAAGATGCAATTAATTACAGACATAGAATAATAAATGAACATTTTTAGTTTTAAATAAAATAGAATAAGAACAAGAAAAATATTTACAATTCTACTTAAATATTATGTAAAATATACTTAAATTAGCTTTAGAACACTTCATTATTAGTTAATTAGTTAGTTGGCAGACGGCATTAGGGCCATGCCTTTAGTTCAATAAGTAACAATATTATGATGTGTAAATATTTTGTAATTTATTTTGTAATAACATAAATTAAAGTGTTAGATTAGTTTTAAGATTAAAATATTATATTGTTTTTGAACTAAAATAAATAAAAAATACTATACTATACTAATACTAATACCAAAAAATAGAAATCACCTCCGATCTACTTAAGGGAAAAAAATTGGAATAAGCTCTTAAAGAAGAGGACATCCATTATCGGCGATAAATATTTCTACGTGATTCCACTCTTGAAAGGAAATGTCCATGAAACAAAAATCCAAATAAATGACGAATTTAACTATAGAAAAATGATAAACTTCTTCGATGCCAATAACAAAAGTTACTACATCTACCAGTTAAAAAGTAGCAAAGGTTTAAGTGTGGTAATTAAAGGTATAGAACATTTCGTACCGGAATCTGATATAAAAGCAGCCTTGGCAGAAGCCGGATTCGAAACAAAGCCCATCTTTAATATTAAAAATAAAAATAAAATACTTCAACCAATATTTAAAGTAGAACTTGAGCCAAACGCCAAAAAAACTAGCTAAAGGAGAAGTGCATCCAATTTACAATCTTCGTTATCTTTTACATCGAAGGATAACAGCAGAAGAACCCTTCAAAAGGAGAGATCCAATACAATGTACTAACTGTCAAGAATTTGGTCAAACTGAACCTATTGCATCTACATAGTGTATATATGTGTAATATGTGGGGTTCTACACAAATCCTCCATATGCCCAAAACCTAAGGAAGATGCAAATGCAAAAAAATGCATTGCTGAATACACTGATCCAAAGACTTAATATTTTTATGTGTAGTATGCAAAGCATGATGCATGAACTTATTAAAAATCAAAGTGCTCTAATGCAAGCTCTGATAATGAAAAAATGAGCAACTCCATTAGAATATGTCACTGGAATGCAAACGGTATAAACAACCATAAACTTGAAATTGAATATTTTTTAATAAGTGATGCAATTGATATTATACTTGTATCTGAAACACATCTCACTCAAAAAAACGCTTTTACAATTCCAAATTACTGCTTTTATGACACCAAGTATCCCAAAGGTATGGCTCGCGGAGGTACTGGTATTATAATAAAAAAAGGACTTCAACTCTATTGTTTAGAAGACTTTTGTAAACATTATCTGCAATCAACTACTATTTGATTTGATGAATATGGAGAAAATGTCGTAATAGCTGCAATATATTGTCCACCCAACCACAACATAGAAGTCCAAAACTTTCAAAACTTTTTTAAAGCACTCGGTTCTAAATTTCTAGTTGCAGGCGATTTTAATGCCAACCACACATTTAGGGGTTCAAGACTAATAACACTAAGAGGACGGAAACTTCTAGCAGCTGTGAAAAATGAAGATCTCGATGTCATTTCAACTGGACAGCCAACTTACTGGCCTTCTGATCGACAAAAAGTTTCAGATCTTATTGATTTTGGCCTAAGCAAAAGTATTAAACTATCAACAATCACCGCATTTCCATCAGTTGAACTGTCATTACACCACTCACCAACAATAATAACAGTCTAACAGCCAAACGCAAAGTCTAACGACATATATAAACTGTTTAAGCAATAGTTTTTCCTTTATTTTTAACACGTTTCAATTTCTTACTCTTCTCGTACAATGCTTAACTATAACTAACTCGTTTCATACTGTATGTCAAAAACTATGTGTCACTTTTAATTTAGCGTTGCCACAGTTCGGCCATCCTGACCCGCAATCGTCCCGATTGAACCTTTTCGATATGAATTGCCAATCCATGGCTTAATATTTGCCGCTTCCCATACCCCCTCATAAGGTATCTGACTAACTTGGAATCCCTCTACATCCTTTACTAGATATCGGTCATTAGGTAGAACTTTAGTAATCCTATAGGGTCCTTTATATTTTGGCAAAATCTTTTTACTGGCGCCTGCCTCACTAACAAAATTTTTCACAGCTACATATTCTCCTTCTTTGTATGTTTTCTGAATTCTATGACGGTCTTTTAGCGATTTATTATAGTTTTGATTTTTTACAATTTGATCTGAAGCCTCTTTTCTTACTTGCCTAAGATCTCTCAGAACGTCATCAGCCCTTAACTCGTCTAAATTTTCTTTCAAATAGTCCACAACCATTCCCTTTTGTCTAATTCCAAATAATAGTTCACTCGGTGTTATTCCAGTACTTCTATGAATCGTGTTATTAAAAGCGAACTCTATATCAGGCATAATTTTATCTAATGAAGCTGTATACCCTGCGTTAGTCATTTTAGCAATCATTGGTGCTAAATTCCTATTTATTCTCTCTACTTGACCATTCGCTTGTGGCGAACCTGTGGCGATTTTTATATGTCGAATATTACAGCAACTAAGAAAATCTTCAAAGTCTTTTGATGTAAATGCACTCCCTCGATCGGAAATAATAATATTTGGTCTACTATACGAATTAAAATATGATTTTAAACACCCTAAAACTTCTCTTGTGCTAGTTGTTCGCGTAGCATACAATTTAACAAACTTAGAAAAAGCGTCTACTATCAAGAATACATACTTCTTTTTAGAATTTTTAATTTTAACTGGACCAAAATGATCAATGTGGACAGTTTCAAAAGGGACTAAGCCCTTTGGAATATTGTGTAAATACCCCTCGTGCTTTCCGCACTTTGCTGAAAAAGTTATACACTTTAGACAATTGGCGATATGATCTTTTATTTTTGTTCTGAGTTTCGGAAACCAATAAGATTTAAGTATAGAATCAGCAACTTTATCGCATCCGAAATGTCCCATATCATCATGATAAAGCTGTAGTATATTCCTCTCCATATTGTTTGGCACATAAAACAGTATGGTGTTTCCTTTCTTTTTATAGACCAACCCATTTCTCATTTCAAAGTAACTACTCTCTTCTTTTTCTAATTTCTTCCTTATCTCATTAATTACCTCATCTTGGTACTGACATATGGATAGATTTTGTTCAAAAGTATTTTCTTCTAACACTAGTATATTCGTGTTTCTACTAAGTGCATCTACGTGCTGCATCTTTTCTCCTTTACGGTGCTCTAAAGAGTAATCAAAATTTTCTAACTCCAGGGCCCATCTGGCTATCCTGGGATTTATTTCTTTTTTGTTTAAGGTTAACGCTAATGAATGACAATCGGTTACAATTTTAAATTTTATTCCATGTAAATATATCCTGAATCTGCGTAGAGCATAAATAATAGCTAATGTTTCTAACTCGAAACTGTGATATTTTGATTCATGTTCAGTTGTTCTTTTTGAAAAATAGAAAATTGGGTGAAGCTTACCATCCCCCTTTTTTTGTAACATTATAGCCCCGAAACCATGTGAACTAGCATCACAGTGTAGTTCT